CCTGTCCTGAGCTCCTCTCTGCCTCCAAAGCCCCTGTTTCTTTGCCACTGTCTTATCCTCACTCCCTTTTCCCCTGAGCAACCAGGTTTCCATCTCAGTTTCTTTCCTGGCTGTCTCCTCCTTGCCACCAGGCATTTTTTTTCCCCTTGCACCAGTGACCTCAAGTAACCCTGGAGCCACTTGATCTTAAGTAAACCCAAGCCTTAGTTCCTCAGCTAGCTTCTCGCTAGTCCAACAGTTGTAATCCCGGTCTGCAACTTTCACTTCCAACACTTTAACTCTCTCTCTCTCACCTTAACCTTCCCCCAAGTATCCCAGGTACCCCAAGCACACACATATACACTGTACCATCCAAGTTAGGAACTTGCCTTTCTGTATGTGTAGGTGGGTTTTGTGTGTGTGTGTGTGTGTGTGTGTGTGTGTATGTCACTGTGTGCATGATATACAAATTAGTGTTCTGTGTATGTGTATTGAATGTGCAGTTATGGACAATTGATTTTTGTCTAACTTTTGGGGTGTATGTGCTTGAATTGGTGATAGGTATGCATGTGCCTAGGCTGGTTTGGATGTGTGTGTGCCTGAGTTGGTAGTGTGTATGTTTGTACCTAATTGATTTGTGTGTTTGTATATGTGCAATTGTGTTACACCCTTCTGTCTAACAATACAATATTGAGATCCTGAGAGTTGGCCTTACCCCACAGGGCAACACCAAGACCTGGTTGCTGCTGACACTTGTCTCTCCTTTGGCATGGGAAGAGCACTTGCATCCAAAGCCTCCTCCACCAAATGCCACTGAACTCCCACTTATGAGGTCTGGATCAAATGGTTCTGGATCAAATAGATCTAGCCTGTGGCCATAGGTTGCTGATCTCTGTCTTAGACTGTAAACTGTTTGGACCAGAAACCATGGGTAAGCTCTGTGTTTGCATAGAACCTATACAATAGGACTCTGTTTCATGAATGGGTGTCCTTAACACTAAAGTCCTACAAATAACAAGCAGCAATAATAAACACTCTCTTTTCCTTGTCTTTACATTTAAGATAACAATCCAAAGCTATCTCTAAGGGAGAAAAAATCATGGTCAGTAATGAGGTGGCTGCCACAGAGAAACTAGTTGACAATGAATTAGAATGATATATGAAGGAAGAACTATCTAGCACTCAAACCACTAAGTTGGGTTCCCCCCAAGCTTTGCCCGTTTGTCATCTCGGGTCAGTCACCCATGCATTTTTGTTCCCCCATATATAAACATTTAAAATTGAATTTTGCTTAAACTTTTCTTTCAAAAGGTGCCATTATCCCCATTTTATAGATGGGGAAACAAAGGCATAGAGGGGGTCTAGAAAAGTACATAGGTGCATAGTAGTACTTTTATTTCTCTTTTGGCACCTAGATACCTTGGAACATCTAGTGAAAAGGGATCACCCAGTGTCTCAGGGTGAGTCAGAAGTAATCTCAAGCCATCCTCGTGGGACTGTGATGTCATGCTGCCCATACCATATTTATTCACATAACAAATGTACCCCTTTCTCAGAAATCAACTCTTCAAAAGTGGGGTGCATGGCTTAAGTAAGGAAACTGATTTTTCTTCACTAGACTAGAAGTGTGGAGATGCTGAGCTATAATGGCTGCCAAAATGGCAGTCAAAAGCTGCTGCTAGTTCAGCAATGGTTATGAAAGAATTAATTCTGTAGCTTTTGCCTGAAGAGCCATTGAGCTGGTAGAGGGCAAGTGAGCTGCTGCGTGCAGTTAGCTCTCAGGCATTACACTGAAAAATATTTTTGTTCTTCATTCTGATTTCCAAAAACAAGGTTTGTGTCTTATTTGGGGATGTGCATTGTGCAAGAAAATACAGCATGTACCTCCCTCTCAGGAATGCTGGGAATCTAGATTTATGAATGCCTAAACAGGATTGTGAGTTCCCCATGGAAGGTGCTATTGCAAAACAAAGCACTGCTATTACACTGGCAAGTAGGCACTCATTAACACCTTGCATGGATCTAGAACCTTTCAGTGTGGGATTTCTGTGATCGCTGTAGAGATGTGCTTCAAACCACCCTGTAAATGAGACCTGCATTATTAACTCCATTGTATGGAGGTGAAACTAAGACATGAGAGTGACCCCTGTCAGGGGTCACAAATGGACTGCTATCTTATGGACTAACTCTTAAAAGTCACCTTGTTGCTTCTGTAGCAGCATGAAAAATGGGCCCACCTGAAGGAATAGGAAGGGCTGCCCTGCAGAAGTAGCAGCGGATGCCCCAGGGGATCTCTGGTGCCACTGCTACATTTCAGCAGTTAATCTCTGGTGCCCCTGCTACATTTCAGCAGTAGCGGGAGACATGAACATGACCCAGGTATTGGCATACCTGGATGACCTCATAGTACTCAGGAAGACGTTAGAGGAGCACGAAGAACAACTGTTAACAATCCTGGATCGATTGCAAGCTGCTGGGCTTAAGCTTACCCCAGACAAGTACCAATTTTCCCAGACTTCAGTGAACTATATTAGACATTTAGTGTCCCAGGAGGAAGCCAGTACAGACCCCAATAAGATCACTGCCATGGCAATATGGCCAAAGCCAAAAATCTTCCAGGGACTTAAGTGATTCTTGGGGTTTACTGAAAAAGAGATGATTTGTTCAGGACTATGCCAGATTGGCAAAACCCCTAAATGATCTTGCTCAGGGCTAACAGATGAAAGAGAGCCAGATCCATGGCAAAGGAGCTTCGTCTAAGGCAAGAACAGGCAGGTCCCTGGGTTGACAGGGTCCATTAGAGTTATTTGGACTGTGATGGGATAAGAAGTGTGAGTGGGCTTTCCGGGCCCTCATCCACAGTTTGACACATGTCCTGGTATTAATTTGTGCAGACCCACAGTGGCCACTTGTATTGCATATGGATGCCAGCCTTGAGGGGTTGTGGGCTGTGCTATACCAAGAGCACCAAGGAAAGTTAAAACCCATTGCTTCTGCTAGCCAAGGTCTAGTAGACAGTACCCAACACATAAACTAGAGTTTCTCGCACTCAAGTGGGTGATGATTGACAAATTCAAGGACTATCTGTATGGAACCCAGTTTGAAGTTTGGACCGATAACTATCCACTAACTTATGTGCTAAAAATTGCCAAGCTGGATGCAACAGGGTACTGCTGGGTAGCAGCTTGGCCAATTTCTTCTTCAGCATGCATTACAGAGCTCGGAAGAAAAACACAGATGCTGATGCCTTATTGCGACAACCCCATAAGCAGGAAACAGAAATGGTAACAGTGGATGAGGTGCAGAGCATTTGTGGTTTAGAGGAAAGAAGAATGTCTATGGCAGAGAGTCTACCCGAATGTGCAGCAGAAGTGCTGGGCCTGCCACCAGATGGTGTCCCATGGGCCACAGTGGGTTTTGTGACTCTAGATCAATCTCTGCTGCTACAACTCAATGCTGTGGGATGGCAGTGAGCTCAAGAAGCAGACTCTGACATACAAGAAATTTTAGAAAAAAGTAAAGGGAGGGACCTGTGAAAGCAATTCAAGCCTAAAACACTTGGTGGCCATAACCTCCTTCGTGAATTACCCTGACTAAAGGTCATAGAAGGAGTGCAGCACTGAGTAGTAACTGCCCCTGATGGAAGAACACAAAAGCAACTAGTGGTACCCCACGAATACCAGGCACTGGAACTGAGAGCATTGCATGATGACCTCAGGCACCTTGGGGTTGAGTAAATACTATCATTGGTTTGGGACCAATTTTATTGGCCTGGGATGGCCAGAAATGTCCGAAGGAAATGTGAAACTTGTGCATGCTGTGTGCAGCGGAAAATTCTACCGACTAGAATAGCTTACCTGCACACCATCCGCAATTCAAAGCCCTGGGAGTTGGTGTGTGTTGACTTTTTAACTATTGAAACTGATTGCAAAAACATCATCAATGTACTAGTAGTCACAGATCATTTTACCAGGTATGCCCAGGCCTATCCCACCAGGGACCAAAGGACCACAACTATGGCAAAGGTTCTATGGGAAAAGTACTTTGTGGTGTATGGCTTCCTGAGCAGATCCACTCAGATCACGACTGAGACTTTGAAAGTCATCTATTAAGAGAAATTTTCCAGATGGCTGGCATCCAGAAATCACAGACAACTCCCTATCACCTACAAGAGGACCCTCAGCCACAGTGGTTTAACTACATTCTCCTTAATATGTAAGGTACACTGAGGAACAAACAGAAGGATCAGTGGAGCCCACACCTAACGTTTTGGCCCAGAAATGACTGTGCACCGGAACTTGCTCCTTCTGGTAGGGGAGTTGGTGGGAACCCCATTGGCAAGAGAAGGGGTTCATGAGTCTCCACAGAGAAGTACCACATGGAGGTGGATTCGTCATGCAAAGCAGGAAGGCCATGAGCCCACTGGCACAAGCCCAATAGTGAGTCTGAGGAGGGCTATTCTGAAGGGCTAGGCCTAGGTACTGGGGTTGCCTGACATCAGTTGAAGCCTCAGGACCCCGTGGACCCCATTGTGGGGCCCATGCCGGGTGGTTCCTCCTGATGGGGGAAGGGTACTACCTCAGTTCAGAACACATCAAGAGTCTCATCAAGTTGTACTGGAGGCAGCACCTGTGGGGAACAAGAGAGTGATATTGATTGGGAACAGGACTGGTGATGGTGGCTTAAGGGTTAATGCTTCTTGGATACACATTACAGTAGGGGAAGGTATACAAACTACCCACGATAAATAAGGAACCAATAAATAAATACATTGATAGTCCAACTAATAAACCATCAAGAACTTATTTATACAGTCCGTAACTTGTACACTGTGTACTGAGGACCCTGTGTATACTGCCCTTTGCAGGGTGTCTCAGGGAGCAGGACTGCATATGTGCCCCTGGCACAGGATCTGTGGGTGGTTCCTGGTGCTGGTGTCTCTTGCAAGAGCTCCAAGGGTCTCAGTGCAGCAGGCGGTGGCTCCTCCCCTGCGGTCCCTGCAAGAGAACTGATTCCTGCCCAGACCCCTCCCCTGGCTCAGCCAAGAGCAGTGTCTGGGCTTTAGGTTATAACAGTTCCCCCTGCCCAGCACAGCCTCACAGCACCTGACAAACGCAGCCCCTCCCTAACCCCAGCCTGGCCCAAGGCTTCTGGTGGCCGGAGCAGTCTGTGCCTCTCTAGCCCAGGACTCCTCCCAGCACCTGAGCCTGCCCCTCCCCAGGGCCGCCTCGGAGGAAAAACCAGGGCAGTCTCAAGTAGTTTCCCGCCTGGCCCTGCATCCCCCTCCCCTGCGGTGCTCACCCAGCCACATAGGGGCTTGCAGAAGGCTCAGAGTCTCCTCACAGGCAGCTCCTCCCTTGTCCTGCCCCTGAAGGCTTGGAGGGGAAGGGAGGGAGAATGTAGTAGCCCTCTCAGTGCAGCTTCTGCTGCTATTTCTGCAGGGCTCTGCCAGGGGCTCTCGGAGGGGTGGGTTTGGGAGATCCTTTCCCTGGTCTCCAGCCTGTCTCTTACTGCCCCCCCAGGAAAACTGTTCCCCTCTTTTAACCATGCCTCTCAGTCAATCCCAGGCCAGGACTTTTCCTGGGCTTTTACTAACGTCTCATTCAAACCCTGCTGGGGTTACATCACCCCTCCCACTTCCAAGAGGGCTATCTGCAAAACAGCTTTACTCATCCTCAAGATAAACGGTGTCCCTTGTGAGACAAACTCTGTCTCTCTGCACTCTGTCCCTCTGCAGGGCAGCCCTTCCTATTCCTTCAGGTGGATCCATTTTTAATGCTGCTACATAATTAAATCTTGTAAATAGTTTAATAATGGTCTACAAGGTTGTTTGATTGTAAGGGGGGCTCTCTGCTTGGGGACCCTGCAGCAGCTACCCAGGGAGCTTGGCAGGGTCACTGGCTACCAGGTACCTCAGGATCCCACTATTCAGGTGAGGGCACAGGTAGTGTCATGCCCAGGATTACACTTCTTGCTGATGCTGGTTTAATTTAGTACTTACTAAAGCATCTGGGAGGAGGGTTTAAAGAAACCTTGGTGGTTCATCAGCTATAGCAAATGACAACAGGAAAAATAATTGCCAGGTAAATTGGGGTATCACAGTAATATGCACACAGACCGTTAACGAAAGACCTCACCAATGGGTTACACCCAGTGCCAGGCACACCTGACAACAGAGCCTGTCGCTGTTCCTAGTGGGAGCAGTCTTGTTTCCTTGTGCTTATTAAGAGCTCAACAAACTATCTATTTAGCAGTCAAGAGCAAATTCAGCCTGCTGCGTAAATACCCATTTATAGTCTAAATGACCGTAATGTTATCAGAATAGAGATACTAGCCCATATACAAAAGGTAACGGAATAGATGTAATGGCCTCCTAACAGGCTAGCTTACAAGCAGTGCATTGGAGAAAACTGATTACAGATTACAGGCTGCATTTGGGCTTCAGCAAAGCACCAGCCAGAGCCAAATCCTGCTCTCAGTCACAGCTTGGCAACTTCAGCAGGGTAAAAGAACAGATGTAATTGATGACTGATGTAAATGAAAGCAAGAATCAGCCTAGGAAATGAAGTCTGAGTGTACTGCAATGGAAGCTAATGGGCAAGTAAAAGACAGGTGCCAAAATGGGGTGTCACAGTATGCAGGAGAAAATGTGCTCAGAGTGCAAACAAGTATGGCTGCCTGCCAGCTAAGTGACCACTACCTTTATTATTCAGCTAACCATGGAAGCTTGGTGTTCCAAAGATAAACAAGCTACTAGCATCTGTCTCCTTGCGTGTCTCTATGCCTGAGCTGTAAAAAAAAAAAGGGCTGATTATAGTAGGGACTTCCTCAGAGGGTTGTGGGCCTGCCTAGCCCTTATAAAGCACTTTGAGATGCTCTCAAAAAAGCACTCCAGAAATGCAATTATGTATATTGCTCTTGAATTAATCATAATAAATTGTGACCCACAACTGCTCCTTGGAACTGCAGCAAGATGGCAAAATCGATCAACAAACAATTGCTGTTTTTCTAACCAGGGCAATGTGAACACCAGCAATCCCCGTGGCCAGGGTGCTGATTTTTTCTTAAATATAGCAACATGCATTCAAATCAGGAGAAGCTCTCCCATTCTGGACAGGCCACTCTCACAACCACCAGTGGCACAAGGCTGAGCATGTCTGTAGCAGAGGCTGATGACATTCCAAGAAACACACTGCATCTGACCCCCAAAGAAAGCAGTCAGTGTCCCCACCTTCCCTCTTACACTGAGGCATACCATAAAATCCCTGTTTCTAAAGGGTCTGCAAAGCCTAGAGGGTGAAGTACAGAATAAGATAATTAGATGAGCAAAGACCAGGAAGATTAACAATAATAACAAGCAATACAGCAGAACTCTAAAAAGATTAAATTATATTAAGAGCGATTTAAATTATGCACAGTAGATAACTGACAAAGGAAAAGATCCATCTTAATCAGAGGGAGAGGGCATGCAACTGAGGATAAGAAAAGAACAAAACAAGGTAGAAAATTTACTCAAGCCCTGTTCTCATGTGGCCATTGGGCCAGATTCAGATCTCTGCTAGCTCAGTATAAGAATAAAGGGAGCGTAATTCATGGACTTCCTCTGAATTTACAGTAGGGATGTACACTAGAATCTATGTAACAGACTCTTGAGTCTACTCTTATTACAACAGCAGCATAAATCAGGAATGATTCTTGAGAAACTTGCAGATTTACATCAGTGTAAAACTAGTGGGAGTAAAAGAAGGGTCCACTTCCATTGTGCTTGCATTTGAAGCAAAAAATCAATGCCCTGGGAGGCAGGCATTTTTGGCTCCACTTTATAGATTTAACCAGAGTCACCCTACAGGTCAGTGTCAGAGTTTTTGAGTAAATACCTGGAGTAACCCCACTGGTTCCACATGGGTGACACCAGAAGAATGTTCCTGTCAAGAGTCCTACACTCCCAGGATCTGGATACTGCTCTAACATCTATGTTAGTTTTATGCTGGTGTAACGCTGCTCCGTTCAATCCAGCTTCCTCCTGATGCACTCTGGTGTATATGTAAAATAGCCAGTCCCAATCTAATCACTAAGTAATCCTGCCACCTTGTGAAAAATTAGCATTATCTCCCTGCAACACTTAAGTCAGCCCCCCCTATTGTTGTTCCAACACCTGACATCCGTCACTACGTTCTACCAGTAGAAAGTCAGGGAGCCTTGCCACACTACAAAGCAGGGGTGGGCAAAATATGGCCTGTAGGCCAGATCCAGCCCACCAGGCCATTCCGTCCCACCTGCAGAGCCCCTAAAAAAATTAGAAAATTAATTATCTTCCCGTGGCTGCCTGTCAAAGATGACAAGGCACCAGCGGCCGCAGGACCCAGGAGGAGATGGTGGCAGGCCTTAGCCACAGCAGCAGCAAGGCCCACCTGGCCCTACCCCCCCACCCCCAAGCCAGAAGCTTCTGCCTAGCAGAGGCATCTAGTCTGGCAACCCTGAGGCTGTTTCCCACCTCCCTCCACCCAAGAGTGGAGACTCAGATAAGAACTGAGTGGAGGGAAGGAGAGGATAGCCCATGTAGCAGGAGCCAGCCCAGCCCAGCTGGCACCACACAGGTCTCAGCTGGCTCCTGCTGCACTGTGTGGTCCTAGCTATGTAGCTGGGAACTGCACACTGCCTGAGGGGCTGGCAGGGTGTGGGGAGCAGTGGGTGGGCAGGCAGGGAGGGAGTAGAGGTGCTGGGTGGGGAAGAAATGGAAGCAGTAGGGGAAAGGTAGAAGTGGCAAGCCCCAGGGAGGAAAGTGGTAGTGGGTGGGCACGAGTGTGGGGCCCTCCCACTGCCACTGAATGTCAGGGGTGGTGGCAGCAGGATCCAGCTGGGAACTGCAAGGGCCAGGCTGGCTCCTGCTGCATTATGCAGTCCTGGCATTGTAGCCAGGAACCGTAAGATGCCAGAAGATGCCCAGCTGGCCCAGCTGGCTCCATGTCATACCACATGTTTCCCAGCTGCAACACCAGGACCACAGAACAAAGCAGGAGCCAGCCCGGCCCCTGCAGTTCCCAGCTGGCTCCTGCTGCTGCCTGTATCATGAGGGCCACGTGCCTACAGCTCCTGTACTTGCGGAAGTGCTGTGCTGGAGCCAGCTGCCTTCCCTGCCCCCTGCTGTGCAGGTCCACAGACTCTGCTGGGAATGAAGAGAGCCCCATCCCCTGCTTCCCTGCATAGTCCAGCACAGGGCTTTTCCCACATGATAGAGGCGGCTGGGTAGGCTGTGCTCCGCATCCCCTATGCTCAGCACTGGCTGGAGCTGTGCCCCGCCAGGTGCTAGCACCTGCAGCAGGCACAAGCTCCCTAAGGACCCCCGCCTGCTGCTGCTGACAACAGTTGGGGGCTGCAAGCCATATCAGGGAGTGTGTGGGAAGTCCCCACAGCTCCCACCCTCCCTCACACACTTACATCCTTCCCTCCATAACTCCCACCAACATATACAAACACCTCAACATATCCTATGCCCCCACACACCTCCACAATACACACACACACCCCACACCATACACACAATCCCCCAAACCCCACCATACACACACACCCCAAACCTCCCACACACAATATAAGAGTGAGACTTTATTTTTAGCTATTATGCAATCCCTTCTATATACAGTACACAACCACAAATTGTGACTGTACCAGTTGAGCTACACCCAGAAACTAAATCACAGTCTCTTGTTTTAATATGAATTCTTTAATTTCCTTTATTTCTTTCCTGCCATGACTTTGATGTAATAAGGTAAGGAAATAAACAAAGTTCTGAGAGACGAAGAAGATATAGTGTCTGCAATTCAGCCAAATAATTCTTCGCTACAGTTATTATGTCTCTCTTAGACAACTAACATCTTAGATGTATTTAGTTCACTCTCTCTTATTACAAGATTTCCCATCACTTTGGGGGTGTGCTCATTTATTATGGATACGTTTCTAGGGTCTTGGTAATTCTGTCAATGTGCTGCTTGTGTTACTTGTGTTTCTATACAGAGCTGTATCTCTCCCTTCTGCAAGTCCTCATCCCCAATAAAGCTATCTTGCAGGACTCCTCCAGTTGCTGGGTTCCTCCAGTTATCAAATCAGTCATACACACACAAACACACAGATTAACGTGACACGCCTGACATGGCTGGGTTGATCAGCATGGACAGGCTGACATCTTCATATGCCAAGAATCAGTTCATCAGAGCAACAATAAACTGCAAACACAAGCACACAGTTAAACAGAATACCTCTGAATCCGGCTGAGTGTCCA